GCATCTCCCAAATGTCCCGGCCGCAACAACGCTTTTATTGATTCCGCTATCGGGACGGAACCAATAATGGCGAGTCGTTATTTAAAAACAAAACAAAACAAATTGTCAATTTTAACGTTTTATTTAGATTACAAAAATAAATCGTGATAAAAATAATCCTATTTATGATGTTTTACAAATTAAGACCGACAAAAGACTGATTTAAGACATTTTGATACCAATTAAGGCCTTAGTTTTATCTTGAAGAATTCAATTACTTTTAAGGCTTTTTAAGGACCCGCGGGAACCCTGATGATTGTGTATTATGTGGAATAATAGCCAAAAGTGGGCGGTACTATTGGCGCCCCAGCAACCTAACTTTCTTGGTCATCAGCTGGCAGAATACATTATTTGCTGCAGAGATGTTATCTTAAGTTGCTATTCCTAATGAACACTGGTTCTTATCCCGATCCTTAGGACCATATCAATAAGGATAACAGTGTATTATACTTGACTCTAATGTAGACTAAGAGTTTTTAACAGATGATGTTTTTTCTCTGGTTTCTTGCTGTGCATTGACATGCTTGGGTGTGTTTTTTTCTTTTAATTCTCATGTGTTTACCCCCTTCTACAGCTTAGTTGTGAGTTGCAGACTGCTGTTGGAGTAGGACCACGTCAAAGGATTTTTTTTTTATTACTGAAGGGAATTGTGTGGGTGGCAGGCAGAGCTGATGCAGTCCCCGTGGCAGGGGCTGGTTAACTTTTCACCTTCTTAAATGCATCTTTTGTTCGTTTTTAGGATAAAATAAAACTTAAAAAGTATTTTTTTAGAAAGAATGTGAAGGTGGCGTCATTTATGCATGCTGTATAGTACTTTGGTATGCGGTCATTTTTGGCTGTAGCATCATCTGCTGTGGAGAATCAGCATCAGTGACACAGCCTGTCATATGGGCATGCTGAGTTTTATACTACACACTAATATTATTTAGACGTCAGCACTCCTCTTTTTTGCTCTGCCCACGTGCTTGTTTTTTATTTCCATTCTCAGTCCTCTTGTGTTTTTCATTCTTATTTGTTATTTTGTGACTCATGCAGTTATTGTGTTGGAAAAAAAGAAACATTTGTCGCTGAAAAATGAAGGTAACGTTTTTTTTCTGTGTAATTAAACAAACCTAATTGGATCCATGGTCCATTTACTTCAATTTCTTTAATTTAAATTGGTCGTAAATTAAGTTTTAATGTTACTGTAGCAGAGACTTAACTAATTACATTGAAGACAATAAGGACTTATTAGGGGGTATTTGCGGTAAGGTTTTCCTTACTCCTCCTCAATAAATACTGGGGATGCACTAATAAATCAGCTATTTAAAGCTTGTTCAGACCCAACTACTGACCGCCTGGTCAGAAACACAACAATTGGACCCTCCTGCTATTTCCAGGACTAATTGCTACACTGGCACAACAGCAAATCTCTCTTTGGCAAAGGGGTACTCACTGAGAAAAACTT